GGCCTAGTCCAGTTCCATGTAGGCTCCACAGCTGTTGGTCTAAAAGTTCATGAGTTCCCATGAACTTTATAGATATAAATTATATATAAATATATATGAATTATATATAAATAAATATCATATATTATTAATATATAAATTAATATATATATATATATAAATTATATAAAAATAATACATAAAAAAGGAAAACAAACAGTACTGGAAAAAAATGAGTGAACCAAAAATCAAGTATTGTTTCAGGCCTAATGATAAACTCTAGAGAATTCTGTGTCACAGCACTCAAATAACAAAACAATTTTATTATACACCTGAAAAGTTACAGTGTGAATGAACAAAATATAATCCACATACAATCTAATTGAAGAACAGTTGAACATATTTTTGAATCAGAGATAAAATAACTAACGATTAAAAACATCACAGAAGACATACAATGAAAAGTTAAAAGATACAACTTTAATGTTTAACAAACTAAAGTTAATAGCAATTTTGAAGAGGAAGTAAGGAATCTATAATTGAGAAATGGAAATTGTATGGAAGATATTTAATACAAACCACAAAGAAAGTATCCCTAGTCCAGCAGGGGGCACTGTGTGCTTCTGAGAAATTGACAAGCCTCAGGGGACTCCTGACTCTCATGTAATCTCCTGGGCAAAGCTCACTGGACTAGAGGATTAAGCTCAGCAGATGTTTCCTCAAAGCTGCCCCAGGCCCCTTGGGAGGAGAGTTGTCCCAACGGGCTGAAGAGATGTAATGTAGGGTGACAGTGATAGTGAAAGTCTCATACTGCGCCACATCACCATTTCACCATTACCCTGAGAACCCCAGAGTCCAGCAGCATCTGTAGGTTCTCAGAATCTCTGGAGATTTAAAGCGTGGCCTGGGTTCCTGCCCCTTTCCTCCACCTCTGTCAGGTGTCACAGAGACTAAAGAGGTCTGCCTTTGGAATGATCCATCTCATTTCTTGACTGTTTCCTAACAGCTATTTCTTTTCAGGCTCTCCTCCTGCAAGCTCAGGTGATGCTGGGGAATGACACTCTCCAGCAGTTACTGATTCTCTTTCCACACTGGTTACAGAAGCTGCCTGGCCAAACCTCTAGGTTCTGATTCACCCAACAACATCAGGCAGTCCCAGTCTCCTGTCACTTTTCACCTTAAACATAACTTTGTCCTGGCTCTAGGGTTACAATCTGAGGACAGTGCTGAAGGCGACTGCATGAACACTGCTGTGGTGTCAGCACAGTGAGACACACATGGAGAAACAAGACACAAACGTGCATTTGTCTGAGCCTGGGTGTAAGCCCTGTCCTGTGGAGTGGGTTCCATGACCAGGCACTGTTGTCATCCTGATGTCAACTCTCCACAGACAAGAAGGTGAAGGAAGCATCTACCTTCATTTTTGTCATAGTTACAGTCATAAAAATGAATGTGTTTGTCATCTATTATGATAGATAATAAAAAATAAAACTAGAAGTCAAATATTTTATTCCTCCTTTAGATGTGTTTGCTTATAAGACTAGAGTCAATAGGTCTCCAGAGAGAAGCATTCTCTGTGATGTTCATTCAACAACTTAGATCAAAGGGAATAAGTGTTCACTCATATTTTCTAAGTATTGTTATATGATCTTTCATTTGAAGACAATGAAAATTCATTTTGGTTTTTAAAAGCTATGAAATATATATATATATTTGTATATATGTATGTATATATGTACAATATATATGTACATATATTGGAAATAATTTCTCCTCTGACATTAGGTTAACATATTTACCCCTAAAGAAGATCTGTTGATGTGATAATTCTGAGTACCACTGTATGTAATCACATTATAAGATTGTGAGGACTACTGTGGATGTCCTTAGCCAGATGAGCTCATGCTGAAGCACAGTGGGTCCCTTCTGCCTTCATAAGATGGCTTTAGGAACACAGGGAGATAGCAGTGATGGATTGCCATGTGAAGTCCAATGTGCATGTAGGGCTTTGATGCTGCTGAGCAAAAATCACCTAAGATTGTTCCCAAACAAGAGGACAGAGGATGGAAGGAAAGGGTGCCATAGGGTGCTTAGCTCAGTAGGTGCATTTTGCAAGTCTGTCCTCCATGAATCAGGATGAGATGACAAGTTCCCTTGTCTAGCCCACACAGTTTGTTGTATGGCGTTACTGTCCTCCCAGGGGACCAACAAATCAAGCAACCATCTGTAAAGTGTTTCTGAATTTGCACACATTTCATTCACCTTGACTCATATTTTACCCCCACGGATATTGATACATTGGCTCATATTTCTAGTTTTATGACTGCAACTAAACTCTAATGTTAAGCAATTATCAGTCTCAAAATGTGAATATATCTCTCCTCTTTTAATATAGTATTCCTGTAAGCAAAGACACAGAGGTGAGCTTCTAGGAGAAGGCTTTTCTTCAAGGTTTCCTGCTGTTTACGTGTGAACATGCAAGTATTGCCTTGTTATAAAAAACTTAGCTTTGAATATTTTGTGATTTACATGAAACCAAGGGACATGCCTACTGTTTGTAGTGGGAACCTTAAGAATGTTAATCCTGGCACATAATGCACAGAGTGGATGTTAGGAAGTTCTTTTGCTGTCCATGGCAGTAGGAGACATAAATACAGGAATCAGGAAAATGTACAACTCAAACCACAACAGTTTGTAGCCTGTGCTAGATCAATATTTGTCAGAACTCAGGGTACTCCAGGGTACTCATGTATCCTGCATCTGTGGGTGAGAAGTGGGCCTGTAATCCTTCATTCATAAAGCTCTCCTTCCTAAGATTTCACACTGGCATTACATTGTCAACAATAATAATAAGGGGCTAAAATAAGGAAAACCCACAGAAGGGCAGAAAGTAGTGACTGACAGCAAAGAATCAAAATAGTTTTTAATATATTTATTTAATTATTTAATGTATGCTTGAGGGAATGTGTGTTTGTAAATGTGCATGTGTGTGTGTGTGTGTGTGTGTGTGTGTGTGTGTGTGTGTGTGTGTGTGTGTTTGTGAATGTGTGTGTGGGAATGTGTTTGAGATTAGAGGACAATTGCACAAATCAGTGAGCCATTTCCTTCCACCATGGATGTTCCAAATAAACTCACATGGTCAGGCTGGGAAGCAAGTGACCCTGTATGCTGAAGCCTCAATATACAGTCCCATGCATGTTCTACCAGGGACATTGAATCCTAGCTTCTCTTTCATTCTTTTCCCTTCCTCTCCCCTCCCTCCCTCCC